CTCATGAGTTTGAGACCAGCCCTAGCTAGAGTGAGACCCTCAGCTCTGAAAATAGCTGGCCATTGTAGTCCCAGCTACTCAGGTGGCTGAGGCAGGAGAATTGTTTGAGCCTACAAGTATGAGGTTGTTGGGATCTATGATGCCACAACACTCTACGTGGTTCGAGGGGGGACAAAGTCAGACTCCGTCTCAAAAGAAAAGAAAGAAAAGAGAAAGAGATTGAAATGAGACTCACCTTGCCTGTCGAGTGAAGTAGCCTCCATGTCTCCAGGAGCTATGAGCACAAGGGCTCTCTTCCGAGACTTCAAGTGGCAGAAGGATGTTGCCCTTTCTGAGACCCTCTTCAACTGGCAGGTTGTGTCAGCATCTCAACCCTTTTATAGGTTATCCCACCCACCCCACCTACTCACCAGGCAAGTGATTTAATCAAGTGATCTAATTTAAATGCTTAACTGGATCAGAAGGTCAACAGGGTGGGATCTCTGGTAATCCATACAAAATCCAATCATCACCATCTACATTACGCTTAGTGGAATACCAGAAGCAGACTCAATTATCAGAATCCTGCACAAATATCTTGAGAGTGAAGTAGAGTTGGGGTTCTGGGCATGTGTTTGTCTTCTATCTTTAAGAAAATGGAGGAACATTGGAAAAAGTGCTGTGTGTATGCTTGTGCATTTGTTCGTGTATTTAGGTACACATACTGCAAGATACTTAGATCCCTTAGTATATTGAAAATATTTGGTCTTGCACTTCCTGTTTTTAATGATTACCGTTATATACATTATAGTTATTAAAGCAGAGTGATCCTAGTGTAAGATCAGACATAGAGAATAGTGAGACAGAATAGATGGCTGAGAAATAAACTTTTCCTTCTAAGGTCAATTGATATACATTACTGATACAAAAGTATTAAAACCTTTCAATATGGAAAGGAAAGTGTGGGGAGGGGGAAGAATGGGTGGAGAGAGTATAACTGGTGGGACCACACCTATGGTGCATCTTACAAGGGTACATGTGAAATTTACTAAATGTAGAATATAAATGACTTAACACAATAACTAAGAAAATGCCATGAAGGCTATGTTAACCAGTTTGATGAAAATATTTCAAATTGTATATAAAAGCAGTACATTTTACCCCATGATTGTATTAATGTTCATATCTATGATTTAATAAAAAATATATAGTGTTTTAAACTGTTAAACTGAGATGGCCACAAAACAACAATAATTTCAATTATTACCTTACATAATTAAAATCAAACTTGATGAAAGAGTGAATGTACAAAGTAAACAATAAGACATTCATAAGAAAACATAGGGAGAAATATTCATGACATCGGACTTTGTTCAGATTTCCTGTAATTGACACCAAAGAACTAAAAAGAAAGGTGGTTAATTGGGATGCATCAAAATGAAAAGGTTTTGTGCACCAAGGACACTATGAAGAGAATGACAATATGACTCATGGTATAGGAGAAAATATTCCAGAACATATATCTGATAAGGGACCAATGCGCAGAAAATAAATGAAAACTCCTACAACTTAGTACAATCCAGTACCTGGAGACAGGGGTAATCCCAGCACTTTGGGAGACAGAGGCAGAGGACTGCCTGAGTCCAGGACTTTTAGACTAGCCTGGGCATGATAGCAACGTGTTACCTCTACAAAAAATAACCAAACAATTAGCCAGACATGGAGGCATGTATTTATAGCTCGAGTCACTCAGGAAGGGAAAGGAGAAGGATCATTGAACCCAAGAGATGGAGGCTGCAGTGAAGTATGATGGGAACACTGCATTCAACCATGGCTGACAAGTGAGACCTCATCCCCTAAACAAAAAAGAAAAAAATAAGAAAGAAATTAAACAACTAAAGTTAAAGTGAGAAAACTTTTTAAGTTGACAGCTTTCCAAAGAAGATGAGCATTGGGCAAGACATCCATGAAGAGATGTTGGATGCACTGTACCCCAGAAGTGCATTAATGTACATAGTTACCATTCAATAAAAAAAAAAAAAAGAGAGATGTTGGATGTCATTGTGTGTTAAGGAAATGCAAATCAAGGTGCAGTGGCAGAGTGCTCCTTCTCTCTCAGGTGTGCTAAGTTTAAATCAAACCTATCAAACCAATCAATAAATGCAGAAAGGAAAAAGTTTAGTTAACAGTCTAGAGAAATGGAACTCTTTTCCATTATTATTAGGCTTGAGAAAATGGTGCAATCCTTGTGGAAAACTATATTGCCATCCCTTAAGAAAGTAATCACATAATCATTATAGGATTCAGAAGCTTCTCTTTAATAACAGATGAAAAGTAGGGCTAAACAGATATTGTAAATAGTTGTACATACTAGCAGTGTTCGCAGGACCAAAAGGTGTAAACAACTCAAACATCCATCAACGGTCCAGAGAATAAACAAAATGTGTGTGTGTGTGTGTGTGTGTGTGTGTGTGTGTCTGTGGAAGACACTGGACCCTGAACCTCAGTTCACTCATTCTGAACGCGAAGCCTCGTGCACATTGGCAGATATGTGCAGTAGAAGTTCTAGATGTTCCTTATATTAACCACCAAGGGATGGCAACAAACTGCTCAACAAAGGCAGGCGGTCAAATTAAGTCACTTTCATGGGGTACAGGTGGCAGAGAGAGAGAGAGAGAGAGAGAGATGGATGTAATACCGTTTAGGCTTAAACAGAAATAAAAGTGTTTATTAATACATTCCTAAATGAGGAAATAACACAGTGTCAAACCCTTATCTTAGATCTACCTACTACACGAGCCTATGGAAAAGGGAGGGTGAGAACATGGTCCACGTTGGATGTCCATTGAGAATGTGCAAAGGGATTCCTTTGGGGATCCGGGATCCTCCATGAAGGAGGATTCTGCCAGTTAGGGGTGGACCCTCAAAATCAAATTTGTATCAAGGTGCCTGGCAATGCAGCTGCTGGTCCTGCCCTCAGGCCTCAGTCTCAGGAACATTGCTCTTGGGAAGGCAAGATATCACACGGAAGCCCCATACACACAATCACCACGTCTCAGTAAAAGTGCTCCCCAGGAGCCTTTTTAATCTCCTCAAACAACCACAGTGTCTTCTGCCCAAAGGCCTTTGCTGATTAGAGCAAATTTAACCAAGTCTTCAAGATGTTCTCATGTGACTTTTAGGGTTCACTGTGGAAGACACTGGACCCTGAACCTCAGTTCACTCATTCTGAACGCGAAGCCTCGTGCACATTGGCAGATATGTGCAGTACAAGTTCTAGATGTTCCTTATATTAACCACCAAGAGATGGCAACAAACTGCTCAACAAAGGCAGGCGGTCAAATTAAGTCACTTTCATGGGGTATAGGTGGCATATGTGTTGTTTCAGACTGCAGGGGGTGGTCAGTATAGGGGGGTGGTCAATTATAGAGGTTCTGTCATATGTGTGTTTGCCAAGACACGTATGCACACACACACACACACTTGCACACATTCCATTCATGTATATAGTTTCAATGAATGGAGACATGAAGGTAAGGGAGGTGTACTGCAGAACTCAAAGAGGACAGCTGAGGACTGGTGGGAGGATCCTCTTTCCCTATCAACATTGGCTCTCAGGAGGGCTGTGCTCTGAGCTTCTGTGAGCTTCTGCCACTGGACAGACAGTCTAATGTTCTGGATTATTGAAGGAACCAGGTTGCTGCTGCAGATGCTGGACCTGGCAGCAGCAGGAAGCTGCCAGGAGACGTTTGCACACTCGTCTGAGATTTGCTGAGGAACCTCTTTCGGGTGAGGAGCTGTCGGGCATGCATCTCTGGAGCCAAGTCTCCTTCTGTTAGAGTGGGAGGTGAGACGAAGTCTAGTATGCACGGTTGGCTTTGGAAGACCTTAGGGGGCTTTGGAACATTCTGCAGAGTGAGAGGGTTAATCTGTGTCAACTTGGCCCAGAAGTTTGGCAGTCTTGACATGAGGTTCATCGACCGAGAGATTTTCAGCCCAAACTCACTGTCTGTGTTCCTCGTGCCAAACAATCTACTGTTCCTAGACTGCCGCATCCTCTCACTCCTTATGGAAGGGTAAAATGACAAGGAATCAAGTGAGAGAATGTAAAGCGGCTTTCGTGCGAAAGCAGGGGCAGCTCGGGGAACCAAAGAAGATTCCATGGCCTCTGGGGCTGCTGCCGGATCAGGAAACACGTCGGGACAGGAAACGGAAGTGACGTCAGGGACAGGGAAGTGAATGATTGCATCATTTCCTCTAGCCTAGTAAGGATGCTCCAGCACTTTCACATTCTATCTTTCTTATACTGTACACCTGTTTTTATTTCTTTCTTTTGAAATTATTTTTTTTTTTTTTTGAGACAGAGTCTCACTTTGTTGCATTTGGCAGAGTATGTGGTGTCAGAGCTCACAGCAACCTCAGACTCTTGGACCTAAGCGACTCCCTTCCCTCACCATCCCGAGTTCCTGGGGCAAAGAGATAGACTCTAAAAATACACCTTTAACACAGTTTAGCAAATAATTCAGAATTCTGAGAAGATGTGTACTCATTAAAAATGTGGCATGTAAGTGTTTTGATCTGGAAATACAGAATGCAGAATGATGTAGGAAATTACATTGAACATTTTTTCAATAAATTTTTTCAAATGTTGAGGGAATCAAATCTGTGACAGAAAATCTCATAGTTTGATAAAGTTTGAGTTAGGATTTATGTATTTTAATAGGTACATTGCATCAGCACTCCTTGGCATGTGGTAGAGAGTCAGGAGCCCTGGCTGAGTATCTCCTGATTTCAACAGCTTTATCTACACGGCACAGCTTCCCTCATTCCATGTTCTGCCAAAACCACTTGTGTCTGTTCAGCCCCAGTTTGGACACTTCAGAAGTCTTCAGCCCCAGTTGTCTGGTTTTTCAGAGTGCGCTGAGTTGGATTTAATGTGGGAATTGGGGCAATATCAAAGACATCTGCTAGAAACCTCTGTTTTGTCTCTCTCTCTGAGAAGCTTTCTGGGGCCAGAGACTATGGCAACTCCGCTCTCCTACCCCACAGATACCTCCTTGGATTTTGTCCCTGAATCCTCACCGGGTGAGGGTGGGAGTTCATGTCATGATATCCCACGCTTTAATCAGGTCAGTCTTGAGTCAGGACACAGACAGGGACACAGGTGTGTTTCCATTACTGCTACCCAGAAGGTAAAACAGCCACATAGAAAAGAGCCCAATATCTCAGGCAACACACAAGCCCTTCTTCCATTTGAGGCAGTGTAGCTTTCCACAAGTGAACTGAAAATTCTGAGAAAGTTCTGTCACTGCTTTGATCCCGAGCTCAGAAATATGTTGCTTTTTAAATGTTTTGCCCCTTAACAGTGAACCTAATACTCTAGGGAAATTTTCCCAGGGTACAAAATGGGATGATTGGAGTTTCTGACAAACTGGCATAATCCCCAAACAATCGGCCTTCTGAGGCCAATTAAATGGGCATGTCCAGGGGTGAAATCAATACATTATGGAGTTAAAGGGAGGGAGGGAGGTTGAACACTTTCAGTGGTTCTCAACCTTCCTAATGCTGTGAACCTTTAATATAGTTCCTGTGGGTTGTGACCCACAGGTTGAGAATTGCTGCCTTACATCATGGTTCTTGCTGGGCTTGCATTTTCTAACCAGAGTATTTCTTTAACTACTTTAATTGCATTGATTTACTTCTTACTTTTATCACTCTGCATTACTTTTCATTCTAACACAAAATCTAGAACAAGAATGCAGTCCAGGTGCAGAACATCAAGGTGGACTCCAAATTACACGGTGCACATGAACCCTAAGATGAGCAATTAAGCCCCTAGGAAGCCTTCTGGGCTAGCAGTGGTGTGCCATGCTGGGAAAGGGGAAGGGAGGGGCATTGTCCTCTCACTTCCCTGACAGACATCTTCTTTCCTATAGGATCAAACCATTTGTGCTGATTTCAGCATCTTATACCTCTAGTAAATCTTCCCAATCCCCTGCACTCACTCCCTTGAAGAGAGCAATCTCACCTTCAGAAGCCTGTCCTCCAGTTGCCCATAGACCTTGACCTGGAGTTGCACTGGGGGAGGGAGAAGATTCAGCAAGATAGTCAGTTTGTCTTAAAGGGCCACACTTTCAGGTGTAGCTCTTGCAACAGACTTTGAATTTCTCAGCATAGGTCCTGTAGTCTGAAGATGTACCTGCTTTTCTCTGATCCACTTTCCTCATGTTTCTATTCTCTTTGCCCGTCATCAGAAAACCATTTTCTTCATTCCATTCCTAACCTTATAATAAACAATCGAATGCTGGCTTAAGCTCATTAAATCATATCTAGCAATGCAAGCACATCAAGATGGGACTCTTCCCTTAAGTGCTCATTTTTTTCCCACCCTCAGACATATGCAAGGTCTTCCCACACTGAAACTGTAGAGTCAACGTTCAATAACTTCAGTGTTTCAGTGGGGGAAAATGAGATGATTGTGGCATGGGGTTGTAGTTACTGATACATATCAAGGCCAATGTCCTGAATGTCGCACAATTACACATGCAAATACAATTAAAACGGTACATTTTATATTCTATGCCTTTTACCACAATTAGCCATGAAAAGTGCAAAATGGAAGAGGTCAATGTACAAATACTTATTTTTCCTTGTAAAATATATGTTCTGAAAACATGCATGTACACCAATATTTTACTCATAAAAAATGCATCAAAATGGTGTAGTGAAAATAGAGCCCTGGTTTTAACATAGACTCACTTTCTCCTTGAGAGACCTAAAGAATCATGAGAATGGCATCTGAGTTGTATACGACACCCAGGTCAGAAAAGAGGCCTCCGAGAGAGAGTATGTGAGGTGTGGCTATACCCAGCTAATGGTACTGTAAAGATTCTCCAGATTCCATAGGTCTCTTGATGCTGGAGGGAGAGGTCATGTTTAAGGTCTGTAGTTTTGCCAAAACAAGTTGGAGGAAATCTGTCTGAAACTTCCCTTGTTTGCCTTTTTTATTGCTGATTTCTAATAAGTAACTTTGAACTACTTTTCCCCTGCTTTTTGATAATAAATATGAACCAAAGATTTGCTCAGGAAGACACTCTCCCCTTGAATTCTTCAGTGCCCCGACACAGACTTTATGTCAATCCTCTTTATTCCTTGAGCCAAAATTCCTTTGAAAAATGGGACTTTTCTAAATGTAGAATATAAATGTCTTAACACAATAACTAAGAAAATGACATGAAGGCTATATTAACCAGTTTGATGAAAATATTTCAGATTGCATATAGAACCAGCACACTGTACCCCATGACTGCATTGATGTACACACCTATGATTTAATTACAAATAAGAAGAAGAAGAAAGAAAAATGGTACTTTCTGGAGACCGTTAAGTGAAATGTGATTGGATTGAGTTGATTAGATTGGGCCACACCTACAGGGTGTGAGTAGAAGGAGGGCGGAGTCAGGTCAAGACTGTATTAATGTAGCCTGGGCAAGAGGTGTCCACCACTTTGGCTCCTGCAGTCATCCAGGAAGCTTCTCCAGTTCGGCAGATTTCAAAATTCTTAAAGGATTGGCCTGAGATTGTACCCTCTCTGAGCACTATTCAACCTGATGACCCTACAACATGGTCTGCCTGTTTGTGCCCATGTGGGAGCTGACTTGTGTCCTTAAATTGAAGTTAAAGATGTAGGCATAGATTTTCCATGAACGAGGATAAGGCTGAAGTTGTCTGGGACCATCGAGTGCACAGACCCTTCACTATGTATCGTTGCTGGTGCCCACGAAGCCCCAGTGAGTCCTGGACAGAAATAGAGGCCAACACAACAAGAGAGAGCAGGTATGTTTGAGCGTGTGTCTGCCTTGGGTTGCAAATAGGTGGAGAAGGCATCTTGGCCTGCTGTGACATTGAATGTCTTGAATGTAGGATGCCAGGGGAGGGCCAAGACTTGCAGAGTTAACCTGCTGCTGCCACGAAGATGAATGTGCTTCCATCAGCAGCCCTGCCTCAAGGCTGCCCCACGTCCAGTCCACTACACGTAAGTGGCATTTGTCTCACCTGTGTGTAGAAAGGACAGCAAGGATTTGATCTAAGCGTTCCATCTCCTGCTAATCAAGAAAGGCATGAGTTTCTGTCATCACTTTTTGTTCAGTTCATGTTTTTTAACTGTTTTTTAACATCCAGGGGTTCCTTACCTGGACTATCAACTTCTCCTAAAGGCTTAAGGCATAATGGGACATCTCCCTTCTCACCTGACGAGCTTCATGTGGTCACACCCTTTACCACATTCCATCCCCTACTCAGGGGAAGACCCACCAGAAGGGATGAAGGGGGGAGGTGGATCCTAATGGGAATGTGGTCAAATGAAAAATGACCCTCCGTATTTGTGTGTGGAAACCTGACTTCCCCTCTCTCTCTCCTGCAGCTCCACTCCTGCGTGGCTGAATATAACCAAATGTCACCAAGGAGAGCCACGTCCCATCATAGGTACACAATTTCCTCAGCTTTTCCTTAAGTTCCCACTGCCTGGAAAGCAGGATCATACCCACAAAATCATAGAAAGATAAGGGTGCATTTTCCAGGATGTGTGGAAGGGCAGCCGCATGGACAGGGGCTCTGCCACTGACCTGTGGGGGGATTAGGATTCCTTCAGTTCATAGCCTTGACTCTGGGATCCTGAAGAACCAGCGCCTTCACCTGCCTACTCTGCTATTTCCCCAGGTGCAGAAACACCTGCTGTTCAAGGAGCCCCTCCCTTGGATTCATGTCAGTCCCTGGAACCAGCCCAGGTAAGTGTCTGTGCCCTTGGACGGCAATGATTAGACACTGCTGCCCAAAGTCCAGGCTACAAGAGCCAGGCAAGGATGTGCAGTTGGGGCGTCAGCAGGAGAGCAAATTGGGACAGGAAAGTGGTGGTTTAAAGTAGGATGTGAAGTTCCCGGTGGGTTCCTCCCCATCAGCACCATTTGTCCTCTTTAGAAGACAGAGCACTCAGGGCTGTCTTTCCACAGGCACTGGACGATGGCAGCACAGAGGCTTTCATCGTGGTCCTGCAGCCAGGGGCAGAGGTGCAGGTGAGTGTGGGAGAAGAAGTCCTCATCCTGGCCCCACAGACGGCCCTGCAACTGACCCTGGGCCATGTGGTTCTAGTGCTAGTCCCTGAGCATGAGCTGAGAGCGCCAGACGGTCTGCAGTTTCCTGTGCAGACCCAAGGCATCTCACCCTGCGTCGCTGACATTACCTGGCAGATTCATGTTCGAGGCGGAGAACCCAAAGCCATGGGCACAGAGCAGGTGCCTGTCTGGCCGGCGGAAGAGGGGGAGGCAGCTTCCCCTGCCCACCAGCCCTTGCCGAGGTGCCCAGTAGGCCAGGTTGCTGGGATCAGCCCTTCCCTCCTGATGATTCCGCTCTGCCTCCCTCATTATCCAGCACCTGCCCCCCGGCGCTTCCCCCTGCCACTCACTCCTAGTCCAGTGAGACTCTCCGAGCCAGAAGCCCTCAGCGTCCACCTCCGTGGTCTGGAACCTGTGCCCGGCTCTGCCCTCCAACCCATGACCCCTTCTCCAAGTCCAGGGGCCCGGATGTCCCACAGGGTCCATATCAGGCCTTCTAGCAAAGCCCGGAGGTGTCTCTTCCAAAAGTGATTGTCCAAGACTCACCCTGCATTGCTGCGTCAGGGAGCGATCCCACAGTGTGAAGGGAGTGTCATGCCAGCAAACCCTGCTTCTCTCTGGCAGTGACCTGCCTCATCTCTCATTCTGTACATGACAGGGCCCCGGATGCTGGGGGCTGGGGGACCAGCAGGGACTGTAGATAAAATGATTCCTTCCTTCTTGGCACAACTGTCCCTAGGATTCCCCTTCCTGCCCCAACTGTAGGGATCCCCCCACACTCCAGGGATGCCCTGACAACCCCAGGTGACAGTGCTGCTACTGGCATTCTGTGGACAAAATTTCTGAGCACACCGGCTTCTTCCCTCAGTCAGCACTGCCCTCCCCAGTTCTGGTCTTCCTTGGTCTGGATCATGGTCAATACAGCTAATGCATTACCTTAAGTTGATTAATTCACATTGAATGCCTGTGTCCAAACAGCACATGTACCTGGCAAATACACACAACTGTTATGTGCTCATAGGGATAAAAAATTAAACATAATAAAATTGGGGGGGGGGGAGTTGTAGAACAGAGTCCAGGGGACTGCTCTTCCTCACTTCCTACCAAGGTGCTCTTCTCTGCCTTCCTGACATCATGTGTTTATTCAGTGTTGCCTCTCTTTTATTCTGTTTGTCATTCTTTCATTTATGCTTCAGACACTTAAGGAGTAACTACAATGTATCTAATAGTATTCGCGGCAAACCCGAGCACATAGATTGAGCAGGACAAACAAGACTGTAGCTCTCCTGTAGAGAGAAGTCTGTGTACCTGGTTAAGTTCATACAAGATGGAAAAGGAGTGACTCAGCACAGTGGATGGGGTGGGGCACCACACGTATTTTCAAGCACAAGGGAAAGGCTCTGTTGTAAGGAACCTTCTGAGGGGAGACCTCACGTGGTTTGGAATAAATGTCTATTGCAACGGAAATGCTCCCTGTGCATTTAACCAGAAATTATAGTACAACTCGAAGACAAGGATAAAATGGGAGTTATCAGGGTGTGCTGTGGTGCAGGGAGGGGCCGTGATACAGCTATTGGTATATCGGGCAGGTAGAGCAAAATTACATTTAAAAAGGAAAAACCTGGGAGAATTATCCAAGAAAATTAAACTAATTCCAACCGCTTTTGGACATTTCATAAGGTAAGCATAGCTGCAGTCCTGGTCCTGGTTTTAGAAGGAATGTGTGGCAGAAATAGTCAAACCTTCCCCCTTCTGGTACCTACTTGACTTCAATGTCCTGAAAAATTTCACCAAGGTCCTTCTCCCACTTGCTAGGGCTTTTCTTGGGCTTTGCCTTTCAAGTCCAGACTGGGGGCAAGGTTTGCACCTGTGGGCCCAGGGATCAGCCTGGCTGGACACTGATCAGGTGATAGTCAGAGGTTAGACCCACATTGAGAACCTGTCTGCATGCAGTGCTCATCACACTTGAATATACAAAAAGGTCACTCAGAGGCGCTGAGTGACGTTTGGATGCACAGGGGAGGATTCAATTTCTGAATTCTGCAATTTCTTGCAAGCTTTTTGTTACTCCCAGGTAAATAATCTGTGAGTATTATAACCAGGAAGAAATCGATTGTGGTGTTTAATAAGCAAAGCACCCACGCGAGACACCACATATAGATGAATTTTATAAACATTGAGACAGATTTTTAAAACATAGCTTAACAATAGAAATTAATAATGAAATACAGCACATCAAGAGAATATTCCCCATAATACTTTCTAGAGAAATACTTCCACAGATGAAGAGCTGTTATTGCAGGACAGAGTCCATG